AATGATAGATAGAACTGCTAGCACCTTTGTACAAATAAGGCAGTAGCACCAAACTATGCTAGTAGTTATCATGTTCTTTATTGCCATACCACCGCATACTTGCAGGTAAAGAAAAGGCAGTTTCATTTAAGAATGTCTGGATGAGGTGGTAAAACTTACTAATTTTATTAAATTTTTAATTCTTAAGTATGCATCCTTTTGTAGTTCTTTGTGGAAAAATATGAGGCATAGACAAAGCCCCTCTGCTGTATACCGATGTGATGGTATCTTGAGGGAAAAGCCCTGTATAACTGAACTGTGAGCTAAATGAGCTACTTTTGGAAAGCCATTTTTTCTTTGAAAGCCACACTTGAAAGTGTGACTGACAGACAAATTATGGTTATTTAGATTTGGGTAGTTGGTAGATTGTTCTGAAAAATGAATGAAACAATTTTATCACTTCAAGGAAAACACCTGAAAGTATTTAGTGCTGATATAATATTTGAGTATAACTCAGCGAACCAATATTTTGTGAATGACTAATCCATGCATGATTTTACAAAATTATGCATCAATAAATAATCCATTTAATGTATAAGACCAGTGGATTTCAATGTGAGAGTCTGCAAAGTTCATTGACATGGTTCAATATTCCATATAGAGTAACCCCTGAGAAACTACATATTACTTGTTGAGTTTTGTTATAAACATACTGTGAGAGAAGCATATCCACAGTTATCTGAAAAAGCTATTAAAATATTCCTCCCTTTACAATATTTATCTACATGAGGCCATATTTTCTTCTATAATTGAACCAGAATACCATATCATACCAAATTGAGTGCAGAACTGTATGAGAGAATCTACCTGATTTCCATTTAGACAGATACTAAAGAGATGTACAAAATTATAAATCACTCATATATAAATATATTTTTGGAAGGTATAGTAAATGTTCATTAAGAAGCAGTATTAATATAAAATGGGTTTATTATTACTTTAAATGTATTAAAATTCTAAATCTTCTCAATTTTAATTTATAATATGATTAAAACATTTATAATATGGTAAATATAGATACAGCTCACATAAACAAAAGCTCTTTGGGTTCTTAATTTTTTTTTTTTGTTCCGGGGATCAAACTCAGGATGTTGCGCTTGCGAGGCAGGTGGCGGCACCACTGAGCTAAATCCCTGGCTGGGCTCTTAATTTTTAAGAGTATTGGGCCTTGTAGACCCAAGTTCGATCCCCGGTACCAAAAAAAAAAAAATGAGTATATCATAGTGGGCCAGGGATTTAGCTCAGTGGTTTCACTCCCTGCCTCGCAAGTGCAAGGTCCCGAGTTTGATCCCCGGTGTGCCAAGTCCATAAAACTTGAGAAATATTGTTTTAAAATATGTAGGGGCGGGGATGTAGCACAGTGCCTGCCTGTCAAACGTGAGGTCCTGAGTTGGACCCCTGGTACCAAAAAAGCAAAAAACCCCACCCCGACTCTTTTAAAATATGTTTATGGGGCCAGGGATTTAGCTCAGTGGTGCCACCTATTATATATATGCATACATATATATGGCTAAGGTTGTGGCTCAGTGGTAGAACAGTGGCCTAGTATGTGTTCAGTCTAAAGAAAAGCAAAAATAAAAAATCAAAAGACGGAAGACGTATTTATAATTTTTATGATGATTTGATTATAGGGAACTGACCCATTTTCCTTAGATACTCTTGCAAAACATGGAATAGTAGCTCTCTGCAGAGCAAAAAGAAGAAATATGGAAAGGTAAGCTTGCAAATTATGTATCCCAAGATTTTTAACAGACTAAATTGAAATTTTCCCATGTGTATTCCTTTCATCTTATTAGTAAATGTTCATGAGCAAAATAGTAGTGTACAAATTTCAAATTTTGTCTTTAATTTCAGTACATAATTAAACTGTCAAAATCAAGGTTGTTAACCTACTTCAGAATTTTGTTGAAGTATCAGGAAGTTTTCTTTCTCTTTAAAACAGATTTTAAAAACAATATAGCACTGCATGATCTCACTTATATATGTAATCTAAGAATGTTGCACTCATAGAAGTAGACAGGAGAATTGAAGTTACCTGGGGTGAGGCAGTGGGGAGGTTGAAGAGTTTAGGAGGTGTTGTTCAAAGGATTTCTTTTGTATTAGAAGGATAAACACGTGCAAGGATCTATTGTGTAACATGGTGACTATAATTAATAACAATATTGTTGAAAAAACTAAGAGTAGATTTAAGTGTTCTCACTACAAGAATGATAACCTTGAGAGATAATGCATAGGGTTAATTAGCTCAATTTAGACATTCTACTATATATATTTAAAATATCATGTTGTAGCTAATAAATATATACAGTAGTAATGCAGTCTTCTATGTTAATTCTCTTCTTACCTGTTTAGCATTTGTGTTTTCCATAACAAAAGCTATGGTGATGTATATGTAATTTCAGACTCACTCTTGCTTGTGGTGGAATGGCTGTGAATTGTCTTGAAGACCTTGATATAGATTGTTTGGGATATGCTTGTCTTGTATTTGAATATACATTAGTGAGTACTTCTGTGAATAGTGGTTATAATATGAACACTAAGCCTTTTTAAAAGTAATAATTCACATTTTGTGTTTGGAGATCTGACTAACCCACAGGATAGATTTTACAATTTATTTATCTAAATATTAAGAGTTCAAATGTAACTTAACTACTTTAAAACATATATTTAGTTATGTTTGATAAGAAAAAATCACATCAAGATTGGGTTATAATATAAACTAGGTCTTTATTTCATGACATTAACTATTAAATTTATGGAGTTTTGTGTGTGTGTGTGTATTTGTTTTTTGTTTTTTTTTGCACTGCCAGGGATCAAGCCCAGGGCCTCATGCATGTTGATAAGCTTTCTACCACTGAGCCTTACCCCCAGCCCTAAAGTTGTGTCTTTGCGTGTCATTCTTTAGCATGAAGAAAAGTTCACTTTTATAGAGGGTTGTGTTAACCCTCGCTCTGTCACCTTGTTGATCAAGGGACCAAATAAGTATACTCTCACACTAATCAAGGATGCCATAGAGATGGTCTTCATGCCATCAAAAATGCCATTGAAGTTGGTAAGCTCTTTTTCTATAACAGTATAAACCTCACATATTTTCAAAGTAAGAATAAATTTGTTATGATATGTATGTATGTATGTATGGCCAGGTGTGGTGGTACACACTTATAATCCCACCTTCTCGGGAGGATGAGGCAGTAGGATCTCAAGTTAGAGGTCATCGTGGGCAATTTAGCATGATCCTGTCTCAAGATAAGATAAGAAAGGACTGAAAATGGAATGGAGATATAGTTCAGTGCTCCCTGGTTTCAATCCCCAGTAATGAAAAATAAATTGATGATTACTATTCTTTCATTTTACTTTGGACAATTTGTAGCTTGGATTGTAAAGGGTTTCCTATGAAATATTCTTAATAGTATGTGGCCATCTTAATTAATTCTTGTTTATGAAATAAAAAAGCCCTTAGTTAAATGTTATAGTGTCATTTTTTATTTTTAGGAGTTTTTTTCTTAAACTATGAAAAAGCTTTGATAGCTCAGAACTCATTCTGTTACCTCAGGTGCAGTGTAATTTTAAGAAAGAAATATTAACATTTATTATTGTTATTATTATTATATTATTATTTTGCAGTGCTGGAGATTGAACCGAAGGTCTTCACACTGAACTACATCCTCAGCTCCTTTTTTATTTTTTATTTTGAGACAGAGTTTTGTTAAGTCACTAAGTCACCCAGACTGGCTTTGAACTTGTGATCCTCCTGCTTCAGTCTCCCAGAGTGCTGGGATTTAAAGTGTGCACTATCACACCCTGCAACATTTATTATTTATTGACAATTTATAATCAACTTCCTTCTAAAAAGAGTTGGGGTAGATAATTTGATAAAAGCACACATTTAAAGTGGAATAATAGGCACATGAAAAGATGTTGAACATCATGAGTCATTAGGGGAATGAAAAAGCACAAAGAGATACCATTTTACAACTTTTAGGATGGCTTTAATAAAAAAGCTAAACAACAATAACTGTTAAGTACAAGGTTGTAGGGAAATTGGAACCCTCATACATTGCTGGTGGGAAAACAGTTTCTTAAAAAGTTAAACATAGTTTTTATATGACCCAGAAAATCCACTGTTAGGTATCTATGCAAGAGAGTTGAGAACATATGCCTGTACAAAATCTCTACACAAATGTTCATAGCAGCATTATTTATAATGTTCAAACATGGAAACAATCCAAATGTCCAATAGTTGATGAATGGATAAACAAAGTGGTATTTCCATATAATAGAGTATAGTAGGGTGTTATTTGCCCTAAAAAGGAGTAAAGTACCAGAATGTATTACACATGGATGAACCTTGAAAACATTATGCTAAATCAAAGAATCCAAATACAGAAGGTCATGTATTATATGATTCCATGTATATGAAGTGTCCAAGAAAGGCAAATCAGTGTAGACTGAAAGTAGATTAGTGGTCAAGGGCTGGGGTAATAGAGAGCAACTGGTAATGGGGACAGAATTCTTTTGGAGGGATGGTGAAAATGTTCTTGAATTAGATAATGGTGATGGTTGCATAGTCTTGTAACTGTACTAAAAAGCATCTGAAAAGTACACTTTAAAAGGATTGATTTTATGATATATGAAATATACATGAAGAATAATAAGAAACATAAATAATGGTTAGCTTTGATAAACAAAGCAATAGATGTGAAATGATGGTAAAATGATGGTAAAATAGTGGAAAATTAGAATCTAGAGAAAAGAATATAAATAGTAAGAAACATAATAACCGTCATTAATATTTAAGTTGCCAGAATATAAAGAAATATGATCAGTTACATAGATTTCATTACTGAAAAGGAGAAATCACATCATTCCTAAATGGAAATCATATGGGGTATTATATAAGGATCACTTCCTACTTTTTGTAGTTATTTTTGGTGGATGCTAACAGCATTTTTTTTTTTCAGGAAAAACACAATCCAGGCTTGAAGCCTTTGGTAGTTCCATCTGATTCTTAGAACTTAGGATACATAGAATGAATGGATTACTCTTTATAAAAAATATCACTTCAGAGAAGGTGAGCCAGTCCCAGCACCCGGAAGGAAGCTCCCCGCCACTATCCCAAGCTCCTAGGGCAGAGAAGCTGAGCTGGTCCCAGCACCTGGAAGGAAGCTCCCCCGTCGCCATCCCAGGCTCCTAGGGCAGAGAAGGTGAGCCGGTTTGAGCACCCGGAAGGAAGCTCCCCGCCTCCATCCCAGGCTCCTAGGGCAGAGAAGCTAAGGTGGTTCCAGCACCTGGAAGGAAGCTCCCCCGCCACCATCCGAAGCTCCTAGGGCAGAGAAGGTGAGCCGCGTGGGCGCCAGAAGCACCCACCCCCCCGCCATGGAAATGAGAAGACACGTAAACAAGCCTCAAAAACAGACTTC